GTACTTCTATGAGTTCCTCTATGGGGTCTCTATGGGTCCCTTTGGGTCTCTATGGGTCTCTATGGGTCTCTATGGGTCTCTATGGGTCCCTATGGGTCTCTATGGGTCCCTATGGGTCCCTATGGGTCCCTATGTGTCTCTATGGGTCCCTATGGGTCTCTATGGGTCCCTATGGGTCTCTATGGGTCCCTATGGGTCCCTATGGGTCCCTATGGGTCCCTATGTGTCTCTATGGGTCCCTATGGGTCTCTATGGGTCCCTATGGGTCTCTATGGGTCCCTATGGGTCTCATGGGGCTGAGCCCTCCCTCCCCCCCCAGGCTCTTCCTCCCCTCCTCCTCCTCCTCGGGCGATGAGGACGAGGCCGGGGCCTTCCTCAAGAAGCGGGAGGAGGGGAGGAGCCGCTTCCTGAAGGCAAGAGGGGGCGGGGCTATGGGGCAGGAGCTATGGGGGTGGGGGCTATGGGGTGGGAGCTATGGGGTGGGAGCTATGGGGTGGGGGCTGTGGGGTGGGAGCTATGGGGTGGGGGCTGTGGGGTGGGGAGCTATGGGGTGGGAGCTATGGGGTGGGGGCTGTGGGGTGGGAGCTATGGGGCGGGAGCTATGGGGTGGGAGCTATGGGGTGGGGGCTGTGGGGTGGGAGCTATGGGGCGGGAGCTATGGGGCGGGAGCTATGGGGCGGGGGCTATGGGGCGGGGGCTATGGGGCGGGGGCTATGGGGTGGGAGCTATGGGGTGGGAGCTATGGGGTGGGGGCTATGGGGTGGGAGCTATGGGGTGGGAGCTATGGGGTGGGGAGCTATGGGGTGGGGGCTATGGGGCAGGGGCTATGGGATGGGGGCTATGGGGCGGGAGCTATGGGGTGGGGGCTATGGGGCGGGAGCTATGGGGTGGGAGCTATGGGGCGGGGGCTATGGGGCGGGGGCTATGGGGCGGGGGCTATGGGGTGGGGGCTATGGGGTGGGGGCTATGGGGTGGGAGCTATGGGGCGGGGGCTATGGGGCGGGGGCTATGGGGCGGGGGCTATGGGGCGGGGGCTATGGGGTGGGAGCTATGGGGTGGGAGCTATGGGGCAGGGAGCTATGGGGCAGGGGGCTATGGGGTGGGGGCTATGGGGTGGGAGCTATGGGGCGGGGGCTGTGGGGCGGGGGCTATGGGATGGGAGCTATGGGGTGGGAGCTATGGGGTGGGGGCTATGGGGCAGGATCTATGGGGTGGGGCATGGGTCTGTGGGGTGGGGGCTATGGGGTGGGGTCTGTGGGGCAGGGATCTATGGGGCAGGGATCTGTGGGGCAGGAGCTATGGGGTGGGGCTATGGGGCAGGTCTGTGGGCTGGGATCTGTGGGGTGAGGATATGGGGCGGGTCTGTGAGGATTCTGCTATGTGGCTGCTCTATGGGGGGATGCTATGGGTCCGATCTATGGGTCTGAATCTATGGGTCCGATCTATGGGTCCCACTCTGGGTCCCTCTCTGGCTGTGTTTCTATGGGTCCCGCTATGGGTCTGATCTATGGGTCCGATCTATGGGTCTGATCTATGGGTCCCTCTCTGGCTGTGTTTCTATGGGTCTGATCTATGGGTCCGATCTATGGGTCCCACTCTGGGTCCCTCTCTGGCTGTGTTTCTATGGGTCCGATCTATGGGTCTGAATCTATGGGTCCGATCTATGGGTCTGAATCTATGGGTCTGATCTATGGGTCCCACTATGGGTCCCTCTCTGGCTGTGTTTCTATGGGTCCCGCTATGGGTCTGATCTATGGGTCTGATCTCTGGGTCTGATCTATGGGTCCCTCTCTGGCTGTGTTTCTGTGGGTCCCGCTCTGGGTCTGATCTCTGGGTCCCTCTCTGACTGTGTTTCTGTGGGTCTGATCTCTGGGTCTGATCTCTGGGTCCGATCTATGGGTCTGATCTCTAGGTCCGATCTATGGGTCTGATCTATGGGTCTGATCTATGGGTCTGATCTATGGGTCCGATCTATGGGTCCGATCTATGGGTCCGATCTCTGGGTCTGATCTCTGGGTCCGATCTATGGGTCTGATCTCTAGGTCCGATCTATGGGTCTGATCTATGGGTCCGATCTATGGGTCTGATCTATGGGTCCGATCTATGGGTCCGATCTATGGGTCCGATCTATGGGTCTGATCTCTGGGTCTGATCTATGGGTCCGATCTATGGGTCTGATCTCTGGGTCTGATCTATGGGTCCGATCTATGGGTCTGATCTCTGGGTCTGATCTATGGGTCCGATCTATGGGTCTGATCTATGGGTCTGATCTCTGGGTCTGAGCTATGGGTCCCGCTATGGGTCCGATCTCTGGGTCCCGCTGTGGGTCTGATCTCTGGGTCTGATCTATGGGTCCCTCTCTGGCTGTGTTTCTATGGGTCTGATCTCTGGGTCTGAGCTATGGGTCTGAGCTATGGGTCCTGCTATGGGTCCGATCTCTGGGTCCCGCTGTGGGTCCGATCTCTGGGTCCCGCTGTGGGTCCGATCTCTGGGTCCCGCTGTGGGTCCGATCTCTGGGTCCCTCTCTGCCCCCCCGCTATGGGGCTGCCCCCTAAGTCCCTCCCCTCCCCTCCCCCCATTCAGGGCTCGGCGTCGCCGTCGTCGTCCTCGGCCTCGGGTGGGGGTTGGGGCTCCTCGGGCTCGGGCTCGGGCTCGGGAGGAGGAGGAGGAGGGGGGGAGGGGAAGGGCCCGAGCCTGCAACTGGCGTCCAGGTTCCTGAAGAGGTGAGGGGGGGAGGGGGGGGGGGGGGATGGGGGAGGGGAATGGGGGAGGGGAATGGGGGTGAAGGGAGGGGGAAGGGGGAGGGGGTGATGGGAAGGGGGAGGGGGGTGATGGGAGGGGGGGGAGTGGGGGATGGGGAGCAGGAGTGGGGGATGGGGGGAGGGGGGAGGGGGATGGGGGACGGGGGAGGAAATGGGGGAGGGGGGGATGGGGGGAGGGGGATGGAGAGGGGGGGAGGGGAATGGGGGTGAAGGGAGGGGGATGGGGGAGTGGGGGATGGGGGGAGGGGATGGGGGAGGGGAATGGGGGGGAAGGGAGGATGAGGGGAGGGGATGGGGTGAAGGAGGGAGGGGGGGAGGGGAATGGGGGTGATGGGAAGGGGGAGGGGGGGATGGGAGGAGGAGTGGGGGACGGGGGGAGGGAGAGGGGGGAGGGGAATGGGGTGATGGGAGGGGGATGGGGGAGTGGGGGATGGGGGGGAGGGGATGGGGGGATGGGAGGGGGGGAGGGGAATGGGTGAAGGGGGAGTGGGGGATGGGGGAGGGGAATGGGGGTGAAGGGAGGAGGAGGGGAGGGGATGGGGGTTGGGGACGGGGGATGGGGAGGGAGGGGAAGGGGGGGTGGGGAGGGGGGGAGGGGAATGGGGGTGAAGGGAGGGGGAAGGGGGAGTGGGGGATGGGGGGAGGGGAGGGGGGAGGTGAGGAAATGGGGGGAGGGGGGATGGGGGGAGGGGGATGGAGAGGGGGGGAGGGGAATGGGGGTGAAGGGAGGGGGGAGGGGATGGGGGAGGAAATAAAGGGGATGGGGGGAGGGGATGGGGTGAAGGGGGGAGGGGGGAGGGGAATTGGGGGTAAAGGGAGGGGGAAGGGGGAGTGGGAGATGGGGGAGGGGATGGGGGAGGGGTATGGGGTGAAGGGACGGGGGGGAGCGGGGCAGGGGATAGGGGAGGAAATGGGGGGGAGGGGATGAGGGGGAGGGAGGGGGAGGGGGGGATGGGGGTGAAGGGAGGGGGAAGGGGGGTGGGGGAGGGGAGGGGGGAGGGAAGTAAATGGGGGGGGAGGGGAGGGGGAGGGGGATGTGAGGGAGGGGGGGAGGGGGATGGGTCTCTATGGGGTCCCTATGGTTCCCTATGGGTCTCTATGGGTCCCTATGGGTCTCTATGTGTTCCTATGGGGTCTCTATGTGTCTCTATGGGTCTCTATGTGTTCCTATGGGGTCTCTATGGGTCCCAATGTGTCTCTATGTGTTCCTATGGGGTCTCTATGGGTCCCAATGTGTCTCTATGGGTCTCTATGGGTCCCAATGTCTCTCTATGTGTTCCTATGGGGTCTCTATGGGTCTCTATGGGTCCCTATGTGTCTCTATGGGTCCCATAGGGACGAGGAGCGCCGCGGTGGGGCCGGGGAGCGGCGCCGTGGGGAGCGGCCCCGACGCAAGAGGGGGGCACCAAGGAGCCGGAGAGAGGAGGAGGAGGAGGAGCCTGAGGGGGGGAGTGGGAGCGGGTGAAAGGAGGAGCCCCATTGGTCAAGGTGAGAGGTGGGAGGGGCTAAGGGGGGAAAGGGGAGGGGCCAATGGGGAAAGGGGGGGGAGCCCCATTGGTCAAGGTGAGAGGTGGGAGGGGCTAAGGGGGGAAAGGGGAGGGGCCAATGGGGAAAGGGGGGGGAGCCCCATTGGTCAAGGAGAGAGGTGGGAGGGGCCAAGGGGGGCAAAGGGGAGGGGCCAATGGGGAAAGAGGGGAGGGGCTAAGGGGGTTGTGGGAGGGGCTAAGGGGGAGTGGGAGGGGGGTAAAGGAGGAGCCCTATTGGTCAAGGTGAGAGGTGGGAGGGGCCAAGGGGGGCAAAGGGGAGGGGCCAATGGGGAAAGAGGGGAGGGGCTAAGGGGGTTGTGGGAGGGGCTAAGGGGGAGTGGGAGGGGTTAATGGGGAAAGAGGGGAGGGGCTAAGAGGGGTAATGGGGAGGGAGGGGCCAATGGAGAGAGAGGGGAGGGGCTAAGGGGGGAGTGGGAGGGGCTAAGGGGGGGGGAGAGGGGAGGGGCTAAGGGGGGTGGGAGGAGTCAAAAGGTGAGATGGGAGGGGCTAAGGGGGGGGAGTGGGAGGGGCAAATGGAGAAAGGGGGCGGGGCTAAAGGGAGTGGGAGGGGCCAATGCAGAAAGGGGGCGGGGCTAATGGGGTTGTGGGAGGGGCTAATGGGGGAGTGGGAGGAGTCAAAGTGTGAGAGGGGAGGGGCCAATGGGGAGAAAGGGGAGGGGCCAATGGGGAGAAAGGGGAGGGGCTAAGGTAGAGTGGGAGCGGGTGAAAGGAGGAGCCCCATTGGTCAAGGTGAGAGGTGGGAGGGGCTAAGGGGGGAAAGGGGAGGGGCCAATGGGGAAAGAGGGGAGGGGCTAAGGGGGTTGTGGGAGGGGCTACTGGGGGAGTGGGAGGAGTCAAAGGGTGAGAGGGGAGGGGCTAAGGGGGGAGTGGGAGGGGCCAATGGGGAAAGGGGGCGGGGCTACGGGGGGAGTGGGAGAGGCCAATGGGGAGATAGGGGAGGGGCTAAGGGGGGGAGTGGGAGGGGCTAAGAGGGAGTGGGAGGGGCTAAATGGGGAGAAAGGGGAGGGGCTAAGAGGGGTGGGCGTGGTCTAATGGGGAAAGGGGGTGTGGCTTAGGGGCTGTGGGAGGGGCTAAAGGGGGAGTGGGGGGGGGCTAAGGGGAAGTGGGAGGGGGGCTCACTTGTGGGTCTATGGGGGTCACTTATGGGTCTGGCCCCCTCACTTGTGGGTCTGTGGGGGTCACTTATGGGTCTGTAGGGGTCACTTGTGGGTCCGGCCCCATAACTTGTAGGTCCGTGGGGCTCACTTGTGGGTCCATGGGGGTTGCTTATGGGTCCATGGGGTCACTTATGGGTCTGGCTCTTTCACTTACGGGTCCATGGGTGTCACTTATGGGTCCATGGGGTTACTTGCGGGTCTGGCCCCATAACTTGTGGGTCTGTGGGGGTCACTTCTGGATCTGGCTCCTTCACTTATGGGTCCGTGGGGCTCACTTGTGGGTCTGTGGGGGTAGCTTATGGGTCCATGGGGTTACTTATGGGTCTGGCCCCCTCACTTGTGGGTCCATGGGGGTCACTTACGGGTCTGGCCCCCTCACTTGTGGGTCCATGGGGGTCACTTATGGGTCCAGCCCCATAACTTGTGGGTCCGTGGGGGTCACTTATGGGTCTGGCTCCTTCACTTATGGGTCTATGGGGTCACTTGTGGGTCCATGGGGTCACTTATGGGTCTAGCCCCATAACTTGTGGGTCCAGCCCCATAACTTGTAGGTCCGTGGGGCTCACTTGTGGGTCCATGGGGGTTACTTATGGGTCCTTGGGGTCACTTACGGGTCTGGCCCCCTCACTTGTGGGTCTGTGGGGCTCACTTGTGGGTCCATGGGGGTCACTTATGGGTCTGGCCCCATAACTTGTGGGTCCATGGGGGTCACTTGTGGGTCCGTGGGGCTCACTTATGGGTCCATGGGGATTACTTATGGGTCCATGGGGTCACTTATGGGTCTGGCCCCCTCATTTGTGGGTCCATGGGGGTCACTTATGGGTCTGGCCCCATAACTTGTGGGTCCATGGGGGTCACTTATGGGTCTGGCTCCTTCACTTATGGGTCCATGGGGTTACTTATGGGTCTGGCCCCCTCACTTGTGGGTCCGTGGGGCTCACTTGTGGGTCCGTGGGGGTCACTTATGGGTCTGGCTCCTTCACTTATGGGTCCATGGGGGTCACTTATGGGTCCGTGAGGGTCACTTATGGGTCTGGCTCCTTCACTTATGGGTCCATGGGGGTCACTTATGGGTCCATGGGGTTACTTATGGGTCTGGCCCCATAACTTGTGGGTCCGTGGGGGTCACTTATGGGTCTGGCTCCTTCACTTCTGGGTCCATGGGGGTCACTTATGGGTCCATGGGGTCACTTATGGGTCTGGCCCCCTCACTTGTGGGTCCATGGGTGTCACTTATGGGTCCAGCCCCATAACTTGTGGGTCCATGGGGCTCACTTGTGGGTCCATGGGGGTCACTTATGGGTCTAGCCCCATAACTTGTGGGTCCGTGGGGCTCACTTGTGGGTCCATGGGGGTCACTTATGGGTCTGGCTCCTTCACTTCTGGGTCCATGGGGGTCACTTCTGGGTCCATGGGGTTACTTATGGGTCTGGCCTCATAACTTGTGGGTCCAGCCCCATAACTTGTAGGTCCGTGGGGCTCACTTGTGGGTCCATGGGGGTTACTTATGGGTCCTTGGGGTCACTTACGGGTCTGGCCCCCTCACTTGTGGGTCTGTGGGGCTCACTTGTGGGTCCATGGGGGTCACTTATGGGTCTGGCCCCATAACTTGTGGGTCCGTGGGGGTCACTTATGGGTCTGGCTCCTTCACTTCTGGGTCCATGGGGGTCACTTATGGGTCCGTGAGGGTCACTTATGGGTCTGGCTCCTTCACTTATGGGTCCATGGGGGTCACTTATGGGTCCATGGGGTTACTTATGGGTCTGGCCCCATAACTTGTGGGTCCGTGGGGGTCACTTATGGGTCTGGCTCCTTCACTTCTGGGTCCATGGGGGTCACTTATGGGTCCATGGGGTCACTTATGGGTCTGGCCCCCTCACTTGTGGGTCCATGGGTGTCACTTATGGGTCCAGCCCCATAACTTGTGGGTCCGTGGGGGTCACTTATGGGTCCATGGGGTTACTTATGGGTCTGGCCCCATAACTTGTGGGTCCATGGGGGTCACTTGTGGGTCCGTGGGGCTCACTTCTGGGTCCATGGGGGTCACTTCTGGGTCCATGGGGTCACTTATGGGTCTGGCCCCCTCACTTGTGGGTCCGTGGGGTCACTTCTGGGTCTGGCCCCATAACTTGTGGGTCCGTGGGGGTCACTTATGGGTCTGGCTCCTTCACTTCTGGGTCCATGGGGGTCACTTATGGGTCCGTGAGGGTCACTTATGGGTCTGGCTCCTTCACTTATGGGTCCATGGGGGTCACTTATGGGTCCATGGGGTTACTTATGGGTCTGGCCCCCTCACTTGTGGGTCCGTGGGGGTCACTTATGGGTCTGGCTCCTTCACTTCTGGGTCCATGGGGGTCACTTATGGGTCCATGGGGTCACTTATGGGTCTGGCCCCCCTCACTTGTGGGTCTGTGGGGCTCACTTCTGGGTCCATGGGGGTCACTTATGGGTCTGGCTCCTTCACTTCTGGGTCCATGGGGGTCACTTCTGGGTCCATGGGGTTACTTATGGGTCTGGCCCCATAACTTGTGGGTCCATGGGGGTCACTTGTGGGTCCGTGGGGCTCACTTCTGGGTCCATGGGGGTCACTTCTGGGTCCATGGGGTCACTTATGGGTCTGGCCCCCTCACTTGTGGGTCCGTGGGGGTCACTTCTGGGTCTGGCCCCATAACTTGTGGGTCCATGGGTGTCACTTATGGGTCCAGCCCCATAACTTGTGGGTCCATGGGGCTCACTTGTGGGTCCATGGGGGTCACTTATGGGTCTGGCCCCCTCACTTGTGGGTCCGTGGGGCTCACTTGTGGGTCCGTGGGGGTCACTTATGGGTCTGGCTCCTTCACTTCTGGGTCCATGGGGGTCACTTATGGGTCCTTGGGGTCACTTATGGGTCTAGCCCCATAACTTATGGGTCTAGCCCCATAACTTGTGGGTCCATGGGTGTCACTTATGGGTCTGGCCTCATAACTTGTGGGTCCAGCCCCATAACTTGTGGGTCCGTGGGGGTCACTTATGGGTCTGGCTCCTTCACTTATGGGTCCATGGGGGTCACTTATGGGTCCTTGGGGTCACTTATGGGTCTGGCCCCATCACTTGTGGGTCTGTGGGGGTCACTTCTGGGTCTGGCTCCTTCACTTATGGGTCCGTGGGGCTCACTTGTGGGTCTGTGGGGGTAGCTTATGGGTCCATGGGGTTACTTATGGGTCTGGCCCCCTCACTTGTGGGTCCATGGGGGTCACTTACGGGTCTGGCCCCCTCACTTGTGGGTCCGTGGGGGTCACTTATGGGTCTGGCTCCTTCACTTATGGGTCCATGGGGGTCACTTCTGGGTCCATGGGGTTACTTATGGGTCTGGCCCCCTCACTTGTGGGTCCATGGGGTCACTTATGGGTCTGGCCCCATAACTTATGGGTCCAGCCCCATAACTTGTGGGTCCGCCCCCCACGTGTGGGGCGCAGGAGAAGCCCAAGATGTTCGCCAAGGGCACGGAGATCACCCCGGCCGTGGTGCTCAAGAAGCTCAATGAGATCCTGCAGGCGCGGGGCAAGAAGGGAACCGACCGGTGAGGAGCTGGGGGGCGGCTATGGGGCAGCTGTGGGGCGGGGATATGGGGGGGGGGATGGGGGGGATATGGGGCGGGGATATGGGGGGGATATGGGGGGGATATGGGGAGGGTATGGGGGGTGTAGGAGGGGGATATGGGGCGGATATGGGGCAGCTATGGGGCGGGGATGGGGGGGGGGGATGGGGGGATATGGGGTGGGTATGGGGCGGGGATATGGGGGGGGTGTGGGGGGGGATATGGGGAGGGTATGGGGGGTGTAGGAGGGGGATATGGGGTGGATATGGGGCAGCTATGGGGCGGGGATATGGGGGGGGATGGGGGGGATATGGGGCGGGTATGGGGGGTGTAGGAGGGGGATATGGGGCGGATATGGGGCAGCTATGGGGCGGGGATGGGGGGGGGGATGGGGGGGATATGGGGCAGCTATGGGGCGGGGATGGGGGGGTGTGGGGGGGGATATGGGGAGGGTATGGGGGGTGTAGGAGGGGGATATGGGGTGGATATGGGGCAGCTATGGGGCGGGGATGGGGGGGGGATGGGGGGGATATGGGGCAGCTGTGGGGCGGGGATATGGGGGGGGATGGGGGGGATATGGGGCGGGTATGGGGGGTGTAGGAGGGGGATATGGGGCGGATATGGGGCAGCTATGGGGCGGGGATGGGGGGGGGATGGGGGGGATATGGGGCGGGGGTGTGGGGGGGGATATGGGGAGGGTATGGGGGGTGTAGGAGGGGGATATGGGGTGGATATGGGGCGGGTATGGGGGGGTATGGGACAGGTAGGGGGGTGGATATGGGGGGGATAAGGGGGGGTATGGGGTGGATATGGGGCGGATATGGGGCAGCTATGGGGGGATAGGGGGGATATGGGACGGGTATGGAGGGGATGGGGGGGTATGGGGCAGATGGGGGCAGATATGGGGTGGGTATGGGGGGGTATGGGACAGGTATGGGGGGGTGAGGGGGATATGGGACAGGGATGGGGGGGATATGGGGGGGGTATGGGGTGGATATGGGGCGGGGATGGGGGGGATGGGGTGCATATAAGGAGGTATGGGGCGGATATGGGGCAGCTATGGGGCGGGTATGGGGGGGTATGGGACAGGTAGGGGGGTGGATATGGGGGGGATATGGGTGGGGATGGGGGGGGTATGGGGTGGATATGGGGCGGGGATGGGGGGATAGGGGGGATATGGGGCGGGTATGGAGGGGATGGGGGGGGTATAGGGCAGATGGGGGCAGATATGGGGCAGGTATGGGGGGGGGATGAGGGGATATGGGGGGATATGGGGTGGGTGTGGGGGGATATGGGGTGGATGTGGGGCGGCTATAGGGGGGCGATATGGGCGGATATGGGGTGTATATTGGGGGGATATGGGGCGGCTATGGGGCGGGTATGGGGACTTATGGGGTGGGTATGGGGGGGATATGGGGCGGCTATGGGGCGGGTATGGGGGCTTATGGGGTGGGTATGGGGGGGATATGGGGTGCGTATGCGGCAGATATGAGGGGGATATGGGGTGGCTATGGGGGAGATATGGGGTGGATATGGGGTGGATGTGGGGCGGATATGGGTCCCTATTGGTCCCTATGGGTCTCTATGTGTCCCTATGTGTCCCTATGGGTCTCTATGGGTCTCTATGGGTCTCTATGTGTCCCTACGGGTCCCTATGGGTCTCTATGGGGTCTCTATGGGTCCCTATGGGTCCCTATGGGTCCCTATGGGGCCTCGCTGACGCCCGCCGTGGGGCTGCCCCCTTAGTGCGGCCCAGATCGAGCTCCTGCAGCTCCTGGTGGCCGTGGCCAATGAGAACGGGTTGGGGGCTGCCCTAGAGATCAAGATCAAGTTCAGCATCATCGCCTCCCTCTACGACTACACCCCCAACCTGGCCACGTACATGAAGGTGCCTATGGGGCGGCTATGGGGCAGCTATGGGGCGGATATGGGGCGGATATGGGGCGGTTATGGGGCGGATATGGGGTGTCTATGGGTGTCTATGGGGTGCTATGGGGTGTCTATGGGTGTCTATGGGGTGTCTATGGGGTGTCTATGGGGGTCTATGGGGTGTCTATGGGGTGTATATGGGGGTCTATGGGGTGTCTATGGGGCTCTATGGGGTGTCTATGGGGGTCTATGGGGCGCTATCATCGCCTCCCTCTACGACTACACCCCCAACCTGGCCACGTACATGAAGGTGCCTATGGGGCGGCTATGGGGCAGCTATGGGGCGGATATGGGGTGGTTATGGGGTGGTTATGGGGTGTCTATGGGGTGTCTATGGGGGGATATGGGGTGTCTATGGGGTGTCTATGGGGTGTCTATGGGGTGTCTATGGGGTGTCTATGGGGGGCTATGGGGTGTCTATGGGGCGCTATCATCGCCTCCCTCTACGACTACACCCCCAACCTGGCCACGTACATGAAGGTGCCTATGGGGTGGCTATGGGGCAGCTATGGGGCAGCTATGGGGCGGCTATGGGGTGGCTATGGGGCAGCTATGGGGCGGCTATGGGGCGGATATGGGGTGGTTATGGGGCGGAGATGGGGTGTCTATGGGGTGTCTATGGGGTGTCTATGGGTGTCTATGGGGTGTCTATGGGGTGCTATGGGGTGTCTATGGGGTGTCTATGGGGTGTCTATGGGTGTCTATGGGGTGTCTATGGGGGTCTATGGGGCGCTATCATCGCCTCCCTCTACGACTACACCCCCAACCTGGCCACGTACATGAAGGTGCCTATGGGGCGGCTATGGGGCAGCTATGGGGCGGATATGGGGTGGTTATGGGGTGGTTATGGGGTGGCTATGGGGTGTCTATGGGTGTCTATGGGGTGTCTATGGGGTGTCTATGGGGGCCTATGGGGTGTCTATGGGGCTCTATGGGGTGTCTATGGGGGTCTATGGGGCGCTATCATCGCCTCCCTCTACGACTACACCCCCAACCTGGCCACGTACATGAAGGTGCCTATGGGGCGGCTATGGGGCAGCTATGGGGCAGCTATGGGGCGGCTATGGGGTGTCTATGGGTGTCTATGGGGTGTCTATGGGGTGTCTATGGGGTGTCTATGGGGTGTCTATGGGTGTCTATGGGGTGTCTATGGGGTGTCTATGGGGTGTATATGGGGGGCTATGGGGTGTATATGGGGGGATATGGGGTGTCTATGGGGTGTCTATGGGGCTCTATGGGGGTCTATGGGGGTCTATGGGGCGCTATCATCGCCTCCCTCTACGACTACACCCCCAACCTGGCCACGTACATGAAGGTGCCTATGGGGCGGCTATGGGGCAGCTATGGGGTGGTTATGGGGCAGCTATGGGGCGGATATGGGGTGTCTATGGGTGTCTATGGGGTGTCTATGGGGTGTATATGGGGTGTCTATGGGTGTCTATGGGGTGCTATGGGGTGTATATGGGGGGATATGGGGTGTCTATGGGTGTCTATGGGGTGTCTATGGGGGTCTATGGGGCGCTATGGGGTGTCTATGGGGTGTCTATGGGTGTCTATGGGGTGCTATGGGTGTCTATGGGTGTCTATGGGGTGTCTATGGGGTGTCTATGGGGTGTCTATGGGGTGTCTATGGGGCACATATGGGGTGTCTATGGGGGGCTATGGGGTGTCTATGGGGGTCTATGGGGTGTCTGTGGGTGTCTATGGGGGGCTATGGGGTGTCTATGGGGGTCTATGGGGTGCTATGGGGTGTCTATGGGGTGTCTATGGGGTGTCTATGGGGGTCTATGGGGCTCTATGGGGCTCTATGGGGTGTCTATGGGGCTCTATGGGGTGTCTATGGGTGTCTATGGGGTGTCTATGTGGGTCTATGGGGTGTCTGTGGGGTGTCTATGGGGTGCTATGGGGTGTATATGGGGGGATATGGGGCACTATGGGGTGTCTATGGGGGTCTATGGGGTGTCTATGGGGTGCTATGGGGTGTCTATGGGGTGTCTATGGGGGTCTATGGGGCTCTATGGGGTGTCTATGGGGGTCTATGGGGTGTCTATGGGGTGCTGTGGGGCGCTATCATCGCCTCCCTCTACGACTACACCCCCAACCTGGCCACGTACATGAAGGTGCCTATGGGGCGGCTATGGGGCAGCTATGGGGCGGATATGGGGTGGTTATGGGGCGGCTATGGGGCAGCTATGGGGCGGATATGGGGTGGTTATGGGGCGGATATGCGGCGGTTATGGGGCGCATATGGGGTGTCTATGGGGCGGATATGGGGTGTCTATGGGTGTCTATGGGGTGTCTATGGGTGTCTATGGGGGTCTATGGGGTGTCTATGGGGTGTATATGGGGGTCTATGGGGTGTCTATGGGGCTCTATGGGGTGTCTATGGGGCTCTATGGGGTGTCTATGGGTGTCTATGGGGTGTCTATGTGGGTCTATGGGGTGTCTGGGGTGTCTATGGGGTGCTATGGGGTGTATATGGGGGGATATGGGGCACTATGGGGTGTCTATGGGGGTCTATGGGGTGTCTATGGGGGGCTATGGGGCGCTATCATCGCCTCCCTCTACGACTACACCCCCAACCTGGCCACGTACATGAAGGTGCCTATGGGGCGGCTATGGGGCAGCTATGGGGCAGCTATGGGGTGGTTATGGGGTGGTTATGGGGTGGTTATGGGGTGCTATGGGGTGCTATGGGGTGTATATGGGGGGATATGGGGTGTCTATGGGGTGTCTATGGGGGTCTATGGGGTGTCTTTGGGGGTCTATGGGGCGCTATCATCGCCTCCCTCTACGACTACACCCCCAACCTGGCCACGTACATGAAGGTGCCTATGGGGCGGCTATGGGGCAGCTATGGGGCAGCTATGGGGTGGTTATGGGGTGGTTATGGGGTGGTTATGGGGTGCTATGGGGTGCTATGGGGTGTATATGGGGGGATATGGGGTGTCTATGGGGTGTCTATGGGGGTCTATGGGGTGTCTTTGGGGGTCTATGGGGCGCTATCATCGCCTCCCTCTACGACTACACCCCCAACCTGGCCACGTACATGAAGGTGCCTATGGGGCTGCTATGGGGCAGCTATGGGGCGGATATGGGGTGTCTATGGGTGTCTATGGGGGGATATGGGGTGTCTATGGGGGGGATATGGGGTGTCTATGGGGTGTCTATGGGGGGCTATGGGGTGTCTATGGGGGTCTATGGGGTGTCTGTGAGGTGTCTATGGGGGTCTATGGGGTGTCTATGGGGGGCTATGGGGTGTCTATGGGGCTCTATGGGGGGCTATGGGGTGTCTATGGGGTGTCTATGGGGTGTCTGTGGGGTGTCTATGGGGTGCTATGGGGTGTCTATGGGGGTCTATGGGGTGCTATGGGGTGTCTATGGGGGTCTATGGGGTGTCTGTGAGGTGTCTATGGGGGTCTATGGGGTGTCTATGGGGGGCTATGGGGTGTCTATGGGGCTCTATGGGGGGCTATGGGGTGTCTATGGGGTGTCTATGGGGTGTCTGTGGGGTGTCTATGGGTGTCTATGGGGTGTCTATGGGGTGCTATGGGGTGTGTATGGGTCCCTATGGGTCCCAATGTCCCTCTATGGGTCCCAATGTGTCTCTATGGGTCCCAATGTCCCTCTATGGGTCCCATTGTCTCTCTATGGGTCCCAATGTGTCTCTATGGGTCCCAATGTGTCTCTATGGGTCCCAATGTCTCTCTATGGGTCCCAATGTGTCTCTATGGGTCCCAATGTCTCTCTATGGGTCCCAATGTGTCTCTATGGGTCCCAATGTGTCTCTATGGGTCCCAATGTCTCTCTATGGGTCCCAATGTCTCTCTATGGGTCTCTATGGGTCTCTATGGGTCCCAATGTGTCTCTATGGGTCCCAATGTCTCTCTATGTGTCCCAATGTCTCTCTATGGGTCCCAATGTCTCCCTATGGGTCCCAATGTGTCTCTATGGGTCCCAATGGGTCTCTATGGGTCCCAATGTCTCTCTATGGGTCCCAATGTCTCTCTATGGGTCCCAATGTGTCTCTATGGGTCCCAATGTCTCTCTATGGGTCCCAATGTGTCTCTATGGGTCCCAATGTCTCTCTATGGGTCCCAATGTGTCTCTATGTGTCCCAATGTGTCTCTATGGGTCCCAATGGGTCTCTATGGGTCCCAATGTGTCTCTATGGGTCCCAATGTCTCTCTATGGGTCCCAATGTCTCTCTATGGGTCCCAATGTCTCTCTATGGGTCCCAATGTCTCTCTATGGGTCCCAATGTGTCTCTATGGGTCCCAATGTCTCTCTATGGGTCCCAATGTCTCTCTATGGGTCCCAATGTCTCTCTATGGGTCCCAATGTGTCTCTATGGGTCCCAATGTGTCTCTATGGGTCCCAATGTGTCTCTATGGGTCCCAATGTCCCTCTATGTGTCCCAATGTGTCTCTATGGGTCCCAATGGGTCTCTATGGGTCCCAATGTGTCTCTATGGGTCCCAATGTCTCTCTATGGGTCCCAATGTGTCTCTATGGGTCCCTATGTCTCTCTATGGGTCCCAATGTGTCTCTATGGGTCCCAATGTCTCTCTATGGGTCCCAATGTGTCTCTATGGGTCCCAATGTGTCTCTATGGGTCCCAATGGGTCTCTATGGGTCCCAATGTCTCTCTATGGGTCCCAATGTCCCTCTATGGGTCCCAATGTGTCTGTATGGGTCCCAATGTGTCTGTATGGGTCCCAATGTGTCTGTATGGGTCCCAATGTGTCTCTATGGGTCCCTATGGGTCTCTATGGGTCCCAATGTCTCTCTATGGGTCCCAATGTGTCTCTATGGGTCCCAATGTCTCTCTATGGGTCCCAATGGGTCTCTATGGGTCCCAATGGGTCTCTATGGGTCCCTATGTCTCTCTATGGGTCCCAATGTCTCTCTATGGGTCCCAATGTGTCTCTATGGGTCCCAATGTGTCTCTATGGGTCCCAATGTCTCTCTATGGGTCCCAATGTCTCTCTATGGGTCCCAATGTCTCTCTATGGGTCCCAATGTGTCTCTATGGGTCCCAATGTCTCTCTATGGGTCCCAATGTGTCTCTATGGGTCCCAATGTCTCTCTATGGGTCCCAATGTCTCTCTATGGGTCCCAATGTCTCCCTATGGGTCTCTATGGGTCCCAATGGGTCTCTATGGGTCCCAATGTGTCTCTATGGGTCCCAATGTGTCTCTATGGGTCCCAATGTCTCTCTATGGGTCCCAATGTGTCTCTATGGGTCCCAATGTGTCTCTATGGGTCCCAATGTCTCTCTATGGGTCCCAATGGTTCCCTATGGGTCCCAATGTGTCTCTATGGGTCCCAATGTGTCTCTATGGGTCCCAATGTGTCTCTATGGGTCCCAATGTGTCTCTATGGGTCCCAATGTGTCTCTATGGGTCCCAATGTCTCTCTATGGGTCCCAATGTGTCTCTATGGGTCCCAATGTGTCTCTATGGGTCCCAATGTCTCTCTATGGGTCCCAATGGTTCCCTATGGGTCCCAATGTGTCTCTATGGGTCCCAATGTGTCTCTATGGGTCCCAATGTGTCTCTATGGGTCCCAATGTGTCTCTATGGGTCCCAATGTCTCTCTATGGGTCCCAATGTGTCTCTATGGGTCCCAATGTGTCTCTATGGGTCCCAATGTCTCTCTATGGGTCCCAATGTCTCTCTATGGGTCCCAATGTCTCTCTATGGGTCCCAGCCCGAGCTGTGGCAGCGGTGCCTGCGCTGCATCGAGGAGCTCCTGGACGAGCTCTTCCTGCACCCCGAGATCTTCATCGGGGAGAACATCCTGGAGGAGTCCGAGAACCTCAGCAACCCCGAGCAGGTGCCGGGGGGCGGCTATGGGGCGGCTATGGGGTGATATGGGGCAGCTATGGGGCAGCTATGGGGCGCTATGGGGCGCTATGGGGCGGCTATGGGGCGGCTATGGGGTGGTTATGGGGTGGTTATGGGGTGGTTATGGGGTGGCTATGGGGCGGCTATGGGGTGGCTATGGGGCAGCTATGGGGTGTATATGGGGTGGCTATGGGGCAGCTATGGGGTGTATATGGGGTGGTTATGGGGTGGTTATGGGGTGCTATGGGGTGGTTATGGGGCAGCTATGGGGCGGTTATGGGGCGGTTATGGGGCGGCTATGGGGTGGCTATGGGGCAGCTATGGGGTGGCTATGGGGCGGCTATGGGGTGGCTATGGGGCAGCTATGGGGCGGTTATGGGGCGGCTATGGGGTGGCTATGGGGCAGCTATGGGGCGGTTATGGGGCGGCTATGGGGTGGCTATGGGGTGATTATGGGGTGGTTATGGGGTGGTTATGGGGTGATATGGGGTGGTTATGGGGTGCTATGGGGCAGCTGTGGGACAGCTATGGGGCGGGTGTGGGGCGGCTATGGGGCGCTATGGGGCACTTATGGGGCAGCTGTGGGGCAGCTATGGGGTGTATATGGGGCACTATGGGGTGGTTATGGGGTAGCTATGGGGTGGTTATGGGGCGGGTGTGGGGTGGTTATGGGGCAGGTATGGGGTGGTTATGGGGCGGCTGTGGGGCAGCTATGGGGCAGCTGTGGGGCGCTATGGGGCGCTATGGGGTGGTTATGGGGTAGCTATGGGGTGGTTATGGGGCAGCTATGGGGTGGTTATGGGGCGGGTGTGGGGTGGTTATGGGGTGGTTATGGGGCAGCTATGGGATAGCTATGGGCCGGGTGTGGGGCAGCTATGGGGTGTATATGGGGTGCTATGGGGTGTATATGGGGCGAGTGTGGGGTGGTTATGGGGCAGGTATGGGGTGGTTATGGGGCGGCTGTGGGGCAGCTATGGGGCGCTATGGGGCGGCTGTGGGACAGCTATGGGGCGGGTGTGGGGCGGCTATGGGGCGCTATGGGGCACTTATGGGGCAGCTGTGGGGCAGCTATGGGGTGTATATGGGGCAGCTATGGGGTGTATATGGGGTACTATGGGGTGGTTATGGGGTAGCTATGGGGTGGTTATGGGGCGGGTGTGGGGTGGTTATAGGGTGGTTATGGGGCGGCTGTGGGGCAGCTATGGGGCGCTATGGGGCGGCTGTGGGACAGCTATGGGGCGGGTGTGGGGCGGCTATGGGGCACTATGGGGCGGGTGTGCGGGGGATATGGGGTGTATATGGGGCGGGTGTGGGGCAGCTATGGGGTGTATATGGGGCAGCTGTGGGGCAGCTATGGGGTGGTTATGGGGCACTATGGGGTGTATATGGGGCAGCTATGGGGTGGTTATGCGGCAGCTATGGGGTGTATATGGGGCACTATGGGGTGTATATGGGGCACTATGGGGTGTCTATGGGGCAACTATGGGGTGTATATGGAGCACTATGGGGTGTATATGGGGCAGCTATGGGGTGGTTATGGGGTGGGTGTGGGGCGGCTATGGGGCACCTATTGGGTGTATATGGGGCGGGTGTGGGGCACTTATGGGTTGTATATGGGGCAGCTATGGGGTGTATATGGGGCAGCTACGGGGTGTATATGGGGCAGCTATGGGACGCTATGGGCCGGGTGTGGGGCAGCTATGGGGTGTATTTGGGGCAGCTATGAGGCAGCTATGGGGTGTATATGGGGCACCTATGGGGTGTATATGGGGCACCTATGGGGCGCTGTGGGGCAGGTGTGGGGCAGCTATGGGGTGCTGTGGGGTGGGTGTGGGGTAGCAGTGGGGCAGCTATGGGGTGTATATGGGGTGTATATGGGGCAGCTGTGGGGCAGCTGTGGGGCGGCTATGGGGTGCTTATGGGGCAGTTATGGGACAGGTGTGGGGCAGCTATGGGGTGTATATGGGGCAGCTATGGGGTGGTTATTGGGTGGGTGTGAGGCAGCTATGGGGCGGCTGTGGGGCAGCTATGGGGCAGGTGTGGGGCAGCTATGGAGCGGCTATGGGGCGCTGTGGGTCTCTATGGGGGTCTATGGGGCGGCTATGGGGTGGCTATGGGGCGGTTATGGGGTGCATGGGTTTCTATGGGGTGTCTATGAGGGGCTATGGGGGGGTTATGGGGTGCGATGGGGGGTCTGTGGGGTGTCTATGGGGCACTATAGGGTGTCTATGGGGTTTCCGTGGCAGGCCTGTTGGAGTCTATGGGGCTCTATGGGGCTGGAGGGTGCAGTGATGGGTTTGGGGTCCATATCTATGGGTCTGGGACCACATCTATGGGTCCAGCCCCACACTTATTGGTCCAGCCCCTCACTTATGGTTCCAGCCCCACATTTATGGCTCCTGCCCCACACTTATGGGTCCAGCCCCTCACTTACGGGTCCTGCCCCACACTTGTGGGTCCAGCACCTCACTTATGGGTGCTGACCCACACTTACGGCTCCTGCCCCACACTTATGGGTCCAGCCCCATACTTGTGGGTCCTGCCCCACACTTATGGCTCCTGCACCTCACTTGTGGGTCCAGCCCCTCACTTATGGGTCCTGCCCCACACTTATGGGTCCTGCCCCACACTTGTGGGTCCAGCCCCTCACTTATGGGTGCTGCCCCACACTTATGGCTCCTGCCCCATACTTGTGGGTCCTGCCCCACACTTATGGGTCCAGCCCCTCACTTATGGGTGCTGCCCCACACTTATGGCTCCTGCCCCACACTTATGGCTCCTGCACCTCATGGGTCCTGCCCCACACTTATGGCTCCTGCCCCACACTTGTGGCTCCTGCACCTCACTTATGGGTCCTGCCCCACACTTACGGGTCCTGCCCCACACTTCTGGGTCCAGCCCCTCACTTATGGGTGCTGCCCCACACTTATGGGTCCTGCCCCTCACTTATGGGTCCTGCCCCACACTTGTGGCTCCTGCCCCACACTTATGGGTCCAGCCCCACACTTGTGGCTCCTGCCCCACACTTATGGGTCCAGCCCCACACTTGTGGCTCCTGCCCCACACTTATGGGTCCTGCCCCACACTTATGGGTGCTGCCCCATACTTGTGGCTCCTGCCCCACACTTATGGGTCCAGCCCCACACTTGTGGGTCCTGCCCCACACTTATGGGTCCTGCCCCACACTTGTGGCTCCTGCCCCACACTTATGGGTCCTGCCCCACACTTATGGGTGCTGCCCCACACTTATGGGTCCAGCCCCACACTTGTGGGTCCTGCCCCACACTTATGGGTCCTGCCCCACACTTATGGGTGCTGCCCCACACTTGTGGGTTCTGCCTCACACTTATGGGTCCTGCCCCACACTTATGGGTGCTGCCCCACACTTATGGGTCCAGCCCCACACTTGTGGGTCCTGCCCCACACTTATGGGTCCTGCCCCACACTTATGGGTGCTGCCCCACACTTGTGGGTTCTGCCTCACACTTATGGGTCCTGCCCCACACTTATGGGTGCTGCCCCACACTTATGGGTCCAGCCCCATACTTGTGGGTCCTGACCCACACTTATGGGTCCCGCCCCCCTTTCCAGCCCTACCGCGTCCGCGGCTGCATCCTGACCCTGGTGGAGCGAATGGACGAGGAGTTCACCAAGATCATGCAGAACACGGACCCACACTCGCAAGGTAACCCCATAGCGACCCATAGAGACCCATAGAGACCCATAGAGACCCATAGAGACCCATAGGGACCCATAGAGACACATAGAGACCCCATAGAGACCCATAGAGACCCATAGAGACCCCATAGAGACCCATAGAGACCCATAGAGACCCCATAGGGACCCATAGAGACCCATAGAGACACATAGGGACCCCATAGAGACCCATAGAGACCCCATAGAGACCCATAGAGACCCCATAGCGACCCATAGAGACCCATAGAGACCCATAGAGACCCATAGAGACCCCATAGAGACCCATAGAGACCCATAGAGACCCATAGAGACACATAGAGACCCATAGCGACCCATAGAGACCCATAGAGACCCATAGAGACCCCATAGGGACCCATAGAGACACATAGAGACCCATAGAGACCCCATAGGGACCCATAGAGACCCATAGAGACCCATAGAGACCCATAGAGACCCATAGAGACCCCATAGCGACCCATAGAGACCCATAGAGACCCATAGAGACCCATAGAGACCCCATAGAGACCCATAGAGACCCATAGAGACCCATAGAGACCCATAGAGACCCCATAGAGACCCATAGAGACACATAGAGACCCATAGAGACCCCATAGGGACCCATAGAGACCCATAGAGACACATAGGGACCCATAGAGACCCATAGAGACCCCATAGGGACCCATAGAGACCCATAGAGACCCATAGGGACCCCATAGCGACCCATAGCGACCCATAGCGACCCATAGAGACCCATAGAGACACATAGAGACCCCATAGCGACCCATAGAGACCCATAGAGACCCAGAGACCCATAGAGACCCATAGTGACCCATGGAGACCCACGGAGACCACGTAGGACCCATAGAGACCCATAGGGTCCCCATAGGACCCACATAGGGACCCATAGGGACCCATAGGACCCCCATAGGACCCATGTAGGGACCCATAGTGACCCATAGCGACCCATAGAGACCCCATAGTGACCCATAGACACCCTATAGGGACCCATAGCAACCCCTTGGGACCCATAGTAACCCATAGGGACCCCACAGCAACCCATGGAGACCCATAGCGACCCATAGAGACCCCATAGCACCCCATAGGACCCAAATAGAGACCCCATAGAGACCCCATAGCGAGCCATAGGGACCCATTACCCCCCATAGCATCCCCATAGGACCCCCTTAGGACCCCATTCTCCCCCATAAGACCCCCATTGAGACCCATAGGGACCCCATAGTGACCCATAGAGACCTATAGGGACCCATAGAGACCCCATAGAGACCCATAGGGTCCCCATAGGACCCACATAGGGACCAATAGAGACCCCATAGGGACCCCATATCACCCCATAGGACCGATGTAGGGACCCATAGGGACCCCATAGTGACCCATAGGGACCCCATATCACCCCATAGGACCCATTTAGGGACCCATAGGGACCCCATAGTGACCCATAGAGACCCATATGGTCCCCATAGGACCCACATAGGGACCCATAGAGACCCCATAGGCACCCCATATCACCCCATAGGACCGATGTAGGGACCCATAGGGACCCCATAGTGACCCATAGGGACCCCATATCACCCCATAGGACCCATGTAGGGACCCATAGCGACCCATAGAGACCCCATAGTGACCCCATAGTGACCCCATTGACACCCATAGAGACCCCATAGCGACCCGTAGTGACCCATAGTGACCCATAGAGACCCCGTAGCGACCCATAGAGACCCCATAGTGACCCATAGACACCCTATAGGCACCCATAGTGACCCATAGAGACCCATAGTGACCCATAGCAACCCCATAGACACCCATAGAGACCCCATAGTGACCCATAGCAACCCATAGGGACCCATGGTGACCCCATAGACACCCATAGCGACCCCGTAGCGACCCATAGTGACCCATAGACACCCTATAGGCACCCATAGCGCCCCATAGAGACCCATAGCGACCCATAGGGACCCATAGAGACCCCATAGGGACCCATAGAGACCCCATAGTGACCCATAGAGACCCCACAGTGACCCATAGGGACCCCATAGTGACCCATAGCGACCACATAGACACCCATAGAGACCCATAGTGACCCATAGCGACCCATAGAGACCCATTACCCCCCATAGCATCCCCATAGGACCCCCTTAGGACCCCATTCCCCCCCATAAGACCCCCATTGAGACCCCATAGAGACCCCATAGTGACCCATAGAGCCCCATAGAGCCCCATAGAGCCCCATATATGTCCCCCCCCAGAGTACGTGGAGCAGCTGAAGGACGAGGCGCGGGTGTGCGGGATCATCGCCCGGCTGCAGCGGTACCTGCAGGAGAAGGGGGCCCCATAGCGACCCATAGGGACCCATAGAGACCCATAGGGACCCATAGAGACCCATAGGGACACATAGAGACACATAGGGACCCATAGAGACCCATAGAGACACATAGGGACTCCATAGAGACCCATAGGGACCCCATAGAGACACATAGGGACTCCATAGAGACCCCATGGGGACCCATAGAGACCACATAGGACCCACATAGGGACCCATAGAGACCCATAGGGACCCATAGAGACCACATAGGACCCACATAGGGACCCATAGAGACCCCATAGGGACCCATAGAGACCCCATAGTGACCCATAGCGACCCCATAGACACCCATAGAGACCCCATAGCGACCCATAGAGACCCATTACCCCCCATAGCATCCCCATAGGACCCCCTTAGGACCCTATTCCCCCCCATAAGACCCCCATAGAGACCCCATAGCGCCCCATAGAGACCCATAGAGCCCCATAGCGCCCCATAGAGCCCCATAGAGCCCCATAGAGCCCCATAGAGCCCCATAGAGCCCCATATATGTCCCCCCCCAGAGTACGTGGAGCAGCTGAAGGACGAGGCGCGGGTGTGCGGGATCATCGCCCGGCTGCAGCGGTACCTGCAGGAGAAGGGGGCCCCATAGCGACCCATAGGGACCCATAGAGACACATAGGGACCCATAGGGACCCATAGAGACACATAGAGAGCCATAGAGACACATAGAGACACATAGGGACCCATAGAGACACATAGGGACCCATAGAGACACATAGGGACCCATAGAGACACATAGGGACCCATAGGGACCCATAGAGACACATAGAGAGCCATAGAGACACATAGAGACACATAGGGACCCATAGAGACACATAGGGACCCATAGAGACACATAGGGACCCATAGAGACACATAGGGACCCATAGAGACCCATAGGGACCCCATAGAGACACATAGGGACTCCATAGAGACCCCATAGGGACCCATAGTGACACATAGTGACCCCATAGAGACCCATAGAGACCCCATAGTGACCCATAGCGACCCCATAGAGACCCATAGACACCCTATAGTGACCCATAGTGACCCCATAGACACCCTATAGCGACCCATAGAGACCCATTACCCCCCATAGCATCCCCATAGGACCCCCTTAGGACCCCTTTCTCCCCCATAAGACCCCCATAGAGACCCATAGAGACCCCATAGTGACCCATAGACACCCTATAGCGACCCATAGACACCCTATAGCGACCCATAGAGACCCATTACCCCCCATAGCATCCCCATAGGACCCCCTTAGGACCCCTTTCTCCCCCATAAGACCCTCATAGAGACCCATAGGGACCGCATAGGGACCCCATAGTGACCCATAGAGACCCCATAGTGACCCATAGAGACCCCATAGACACCCATAGAGACCCCATAGAGCCCCATATATGTCCCCCCCCCAGAGTACGTGGAGCAGCTGAAGGACGAGGCGCGGGTGTGCGGGATCATCGCCCGGCTGCAGCGGTACCTGCAGGAGAAGGGGGCCCCATAGCGACCCATAGGGACCCATAGAGACCCATAGGGACCCATAGAGACACATAGGGACTCCATAGAGACCCATAGTGACCCCATAGAGACACATAGGGACTCCATAGAGACCCCATAGGGACCCATAGAGACCACATAGGACCCACATAGGGACCCATAGAGACACATAGGGACACATAGGGACACATAGGGACCCATAGAGACACATAGGGACCCATAGAGACCCCATAGAGACACATAGGGACTCCATAGAGACCCCATAGGGACCCATAGGGTCCCCATAGGACCCACATAGGGACCCATAGAGACCCCATAGGGACCCATAGAGACCCATAGGGTCCCCATAGAGACCTCATAGAGACCCATAGAGACCCCATAGTGACCCATAGAGACCCTATAGTGACCCATAGTGACCCATAGAGACCCCATAGTGACCCATAGAGACCCCATAGAGACCCCATAGCGACCCATAGTGACCCATAGACACCCTATAGGCACCCATAGTGACCCATAGAGACCCATAGTGACCCATAGCGACCCCATAGAGACCCATAGATACCCCATAGTGACCCATAGTGACCCCATAGCGACCCATAGCGACCCCATAGACACCCTATAGCGACCCATAGCGACCCATAGAGACCCATTACCCCCCATAGCATCCCCATAGGACCCCCTTAGGACCCCTTTCTCCCCCATAAGACCCCCATAGAGACCCATAGGGACCCCATAGTGACCCATAGAGACCCCATAGCGACCCATAGAGCCCCATAGAGCCCCATATATGTCCCCCCCCCAGAGTACGTGGAGCAGCTGAAGGACGAGGCGCGGGTGTGCGGGATCATCGCCCGGCTGCAGCGGTACCTGCAGGAGAAGGGGGCCCCATAGCGACCCATAGGGACCCATAGAGACCCATAGGGACCCATAGAGACACATAGGGACCCATAGGGACTCCATAGAGACCCCATAGGGACCCATAGGGTCCCCATAGGACCCACATAGGGACCCATAGAGACCCCATAGGGACCCATAGAGACCCATAGGGTCCCCATAGAGACCTCATAGAGACCCATAGAGACCCCATAGTGACCCATAGAGACCCTATAGTGACCCATAGTGACCCATAGAGACCCCATAGTGACCCATAGTGACCCATAGTGACCCATAGACACCCTATAGCGACCCATAGAGACCCATTACCCCCCATAGCATCCCCATAGGACCCCCTTAGGACCCCATTCCCCCCCATAAGACCCCCATAGAGACCCATAGGGACCCCCATAGACACCCATAGAGACCCCATAGTGACCCATAGACACCCTATAGCGACCCATAGAGACCCATTACCCCCCATAGCATCCCCATAGGACCCCCTTAGGACCCCATTCCCCCCCATAAGACCCCCATAGAGACCCATAGGGACCCCATAGAGCCCCATAGCGCCCCATAGAGCCCCATATATGTCCCCCCCCCAGAGTACGTGGAGCAGCTGAAGGACGAGGCGCGGGTGTGCGGGATCATCGCCCGGCTGCAGCGGTACCTGCAGGAGAAGGGGGCCCCATAGCGACCCATAGGGACCCATAGAGACACATAGGGACCCATAGAGACACATAGGGACACATAGAGACCCATAGGGACCCATAGAGACCCATAGGGACCCATAGAGACACATAGAGACCCATAGAGACCCATAGAGACCCATAGGGACCCATAGAGACACATAGAGACCCATAGAGACCCATAGAGACCCATAGAGACCCATAGAGACCCATAGGGACCCATAGAGACACATAGGGACCCATAGAGACACATAGAGACACATAGGGACTCCATAGAGACCCCATAGGGACCCATAGAGACCACATAGGACCCACATAGGGACCCATAGAGACCCCATAGGGACCCATAGAGACCACATAGGACCCACATAGGGACCCATAGAGACCCCATAGGGACCCATAGAGACCCCATAGTGACCCATAGCGACCCCATAGAGACCCCATAGTGACCCATAGTGACCCCATAGAGACCCATAGAGACCCCATAGTGACCCATAGAGACCCTATAGTGACCCATAGCAACCCATAGTGACCCATAGACACCCTATAGGCACCCATAGTGACCCATAGTGACCCATAGTGACCCATAGAGACCCATAGACACCCTATAGTGACCCATAGTGACCTCATAGACACCCTATAGCGACCCATAGCGACCCATAGAGACCCATTACCCCCCATAGCATCCCCATAGGACCCCCTTAGGACCCCTTTCCCCCCCATAAGACCCCCATAGAGACCCATAGAGACCCATAGAGACCCCATAGTGACCCATAGACACCCCATAGCGCCCCATAGCGCCCCCTATGTGTCTCCCCCCCCCAGAGTACGTGGAGCAGCTGAAGGACGAGGCGCGGGTGTGCGGGATCATCGCCCGGCTGCAGCGGTACCTGCAGGAGAAGGGGGCCCCATAGCGACCCATAGGGACCCATAGAGACCCATAGGGACACATAGAGACCCATAGAGACCCATAGGGACCCATAGAGACCCATAGAGACACATAGGGACCCCATAGAGACACATAGGGACACATAGAGACCCATAGGGACCCATAGAGACCCCATCGAGACACATAGGGACTCCATAGAGACCCCATAGGGACCCATAGGGTCCCCATAGGACCCACATAGGGACCCATAGAGACCCCATAGGGACCCATAGAGACCACATAGGACCCACATAGGGACCCATAGAGACCCCATAGCGACCCATAGTGACCCATAGTGACCCATAGAGACCCCATAGTGACCCATAGTGACCCCATAGACGCTCATAGAGACCCCATAGTGACCCATAGCGACCTCATAGTGACCCATAGAGACCCCATAGTGACCCATAGCGACCCATAGAGACCCCATAGTGACCCATAGCGACCCATAGAGACCCCATAGTGACCCATAGCGACCCATAGCGACCCATAGAGACCCATTACCCCCCATAGCATCCCCATATCACCCCTTAGGACCCTATTCCCCCCCATAAGACCCCCATAGAGACCCCATAGCGCCCCATAGACACCCATAGACACCCTATAGAGCCCCATAGCGCCCCATAGAGCCCCATATATGTCCCCCCCCAGAGTACGTGGAGCAGCTGAAGGACGAGGCGCGGGTGTGCGGGATCATCGCCCGGCTGCAGCGGTACCTGCAGGAGAAGGGGGCCCCATAGCGACCCATAGGGACCCATAGGGACACATAGGGACCCATAGAGACACATAGGGACCCATAGGGACCCATAGGGACACATAGGGACCCATAGAGACACATAGGGACACATAGAGACCCATAGAGACACATAGGGACTCCATAGAGACCCATAGGGACCCATAGAGACCCATAGGGACACATAGGGACCCATAGAGACACATAGAGACCCCTAGGGTCCCCATAGGACCCACATAGGGACCCATAGAGACCCCATAGAGACCCC